GAGGAAAAAAATAAACTTAAATGATTTTAGCATATGGCTGCAATATAACAAAGAGTGAAAAATTTAAGGGGGTCTGAATACTTTCCGTGTATGTATGTATGTATGTATATGTGTGTGTGTGTGTGTGTGTGTGTATACCAACCGGACATAGTAGTGGTGGACAAACAGAAGATGAATGCCGTAGTGATAGATGTAGCAATCCCAAGTGATAGCAACATCAGGAAGAAGGAACACGAGAAGCTTGAAAAACACCAAGGGCTGAAAGAAGAGTTAGAAAAGATGTGAAAATGTGAAGGAACAAGTGGTACCCTTGGTAATAGGAACATTGGGGGCTTTACTCTTATGTTTTATCTCCTTTCCTAATGCACATTCCTTCGCTTATTGATATGTACGTACACACCTGGCCAATAAAGTTGATTCTGACTCTGAAAAAAGGAATGTGCATTAGCAAAGTATAAATAAAGTACCTGCATGTGGCGTGTGTGTGTGTGTATATATGTGTGTGTATATATATATATATATATATATATACTTCCCCCACACTTCGGGGCTTTTTCTTCAACCTCGGGTCTTTTACCAGAGCCCTGGGAGCTTGAGGGTCCTGCGCATTACCTTAGCTGTTCCTAGGACTGCACTCTTCTGGACAGAGATCTTCGATGTTGTTCCAGGGATCTGTTGGAGCCACTCTCCCAGTTTGGGGATCACAGGCCCCAATGTTCCTGTTACCACGGGGACCCACTTGTGCCTTCACCTTCCACATCTTTTCTAGCTCTTCTTTCAGCCCTTTGTATTTCTCAAGCTTCTGTTTAGCTGACTGTATAGCTCAGTGGCTAACACCACTGACTTTGGTACAGAAGGTCGGGGGTTTAAACCCCAGTCAGGGCGTGGCCAATGTCCAGCCTGGGTCCACAGGCAAGGCCCCTAATGCAACTTGCCTACCTCATGGGTAATGAGAGTTGGAAAAATAAGAGTCACACTGGCTCGGACGTCGCCCGGGTCAAGGTCCACGTCAGGTGTTGAGGAACCAGGGCAACCTGATGAGAAGTGGGCTACTGGAACAAGACATTCATGGACAATATATATTTATATACATACATATTTATACACACACGGTTTAGATGCAGTTTTCCAGATAGATATATACGGAAGTATTGCATTGAGGGTTGTTGTTCTGTCATTTGTTGGCCCGACCACACGCCCAGAATCCCCAACTTCATTGTTCACACTGTATGTTCACTCAGCCGGGCACGATGTGTGTGCTCACACTAGACATTTAAACATAACCCTGGAACACATGAGTTCATTGACAACTCTAAAAGAAAAACGGTCTAACCTTTAGCCATTTTACTTTTTACAGCTGATGAACAGCTGTAAAATCTGCTGTCAGTATTTCTCCTGTTGCTGCAGATCATGACATTTTAATGAGACATTGTGCAGTGTTGCATTGCCAGAGCTCGATTTAGCCTCGTCCATATACAGTTTATAAACATATTATATGCAGTCTATGGCTCTGCTTCAGTTGATTCTGTCCTCAACATGTGATATCTCATCTGTACCATGTTGTTATTCTGTTGTGTTTGTACTCATGCAAGTGCACTGAACTAACTTCAGACCATGGATCTGCAACACAGCCGACCAGATTTCTGACATGCCAGAAATCCATCTGAGCGTTTGGGAGGCAGAGTATTGGTCATTTGGGTCATAAAATGGGCAGCAGAACCTTGTTCACCCTGTACACCACACCGAATGACAACTGATCGGGCCACTCTAAAAGTAGTCGGGTGCAACTGGATCATGTCTAAAATCAGGCTGAATCTGTACAGTGTCTACTCGGCTTTAGCCAGCTACAGTACTTGTGTGTCTAGCAGGAAGAAAGCCACATCTGCGTCAAATCTTGGTCCTTTGTATGGTTTTAGTGCTCTCCATCTCTGACATGCCAAACTGATGTTAACCCTGGTTTTTTGTCTTTGTCTCACTCTTTCTGTGTTACAGACAGCATTGTAGTTGAGTCCCCAGTGTTCAAGTCTGAGTCAAGTCTCGAGTCCCCAGTGTTCTATTCTGAGTCACCAAAGAATAATCCCAGTCAAATCTGAGTTGATTCCCCATTCATTACTCGAGTCAGTCATCAAGGTCTCTATTAAGCACAATTGACTCAGCTCTTGTAATTTTATATGCCAAAAATGTCTAACCGTGTATTGTAGAGGTCAAGGTCAGTGTTTATTGTCATATGCACAGTTAGGAAACGTGTTTCCCTGTACAATGAAATTCTTACTTTGCCGTCCACATGAATGCCAAAAATACAAGTGAAATATAAAGTAGATAAATAAGTAACACAAAATCTAAGGCACTTTAAGCAGCAAATGCAGCAATATAATAAAAATATATAAGAATATAATAGAGAATGTATGCTGCGTGGGAGCAGCATGTGCAGCAGTCAACAGTCAATGTGCAATTATACATGTGCAAACAGAATGTAAACAGTACATCATGTATTTCCTGGTAATAAACTCCTCAGCTATTTAGGAGTCTGATGGCAGAGGGAAAGAAAGAGTTTTTCAGTCTAG